AGAAGGGATTTAGTACTATTTTTTCTTGTCTGCAAAGGAATCTGATCATTGCATTAGACGATCAGCATCAGGTGGCACTTCATATCTGAACTAGCCCGTTGCCAATTAGAGTAGCCTCGGGCCAGCTTTGATTTGTACCAGTGGAAGATGATTCCCCCGAGGAACCACTCTTCCAGCTGGCATCATCCCCACCTAATCCAGAGGAGCCAAGAGGTGCTTACTATGATAGCACAGGATTCCTCAAAGAAAATAAATCCTCTGCTGTGGCTTCAAAGCACCTTTGATTAACCTTGCATTGGTGGGTGCAACACAAACAGGATTTAAGATGGGCAAGAGATCTGGCACAAGCAGTGTGTCAACTGAGTATTGTTAAATTTCAGCATCAAATGTTAAACAAAATAAGCTAAACTATTATATAAAATAGTCACAAGCATCCACATTTACCAGATGCCTAAATGTTTTTAAGTTAAGTGTGTTACCAATGCTGAATTGGAAAGTTACTTTGATTAGTGCTAAGATTTAGTGATGAGAAAACAGATTTGGAATTCCGACAAATCCAAAAGTTCAGACAAATGGGAATAAGTGAAAGATAGAGGGGGAAAAAAGATCTTATTCCTCACTGTCATACCTTGGAAAAAAAACCTGTTTGTCCATCTTTAATTTTAGTATTTGTGGTGGTTTTCTTAATTCAAAAGGTAATTTCAAAACATCAGTAAAAATGACTGACATTAGTAAATCCAAACATTACAAATTAATGAAGCACAGCAGATACAGAAGATTAGTTTTCCTTGGAAATAAAGCTACCTTACAAAATGTTACATGCTGTTTAACGATAGTAAGTTATTTGTAATGCCTTTACACGTTGTCATTTTATGTCCCAATATTTATCGCTTTGCAATAAGAACTTTAAATTTTATATACTAAAATGTAATATTTTCCCAGTATTCTTCCATTTTTTACATGTGTAGCCAAGCTTTCTGCCTTATCTGTCCATACAAAAAGGAATTCTGTCAGATTAGTCTAAGTACATATGGCTCTAAATTTTTTAGACTAAAAGTTCACGTTCACTTATCTAAATTAATGTTACATTTTAGAGGTTTTATACTACCCCAATGGGAACATCAAATCCTCAGATCCAAGAATGCCTTTACAGGAGTAAATTTACTGAATGAATCAAACCTCTTCTTATCTAATAAAATGGAGAATGTTATCTTTGTCTTTCTGGAACTTATCTACCCCCCCCACCCTCAAACTTTGGGGCTGCACCTCTTGTATATACAGAAGGTAGCTCAGTTTTGCTCATTTGCATCTGCCTGGCATGTGCTTCCAAAGCTGGATACAAACACTGGATGAGTAGTAACTAAATAGACAATAGGAAGGGAGCGGGTGGGCTTTCAACATCCAAGTTCGGATGGGGAAATGACACACAAGCATTGGCAGCATGGGAGAAAAATTCCACAGGCCTCCCTTTTTCCAGCCCCTCTGGGAGAGGCACAATTCTCAGACTGTTTCTTCTTGATCTTCCATCAAGATTATTATTAGTATATAGATTCTGAAGAGATAGACACATACATTTCTTGAGTGGAGCAGACAAGAGAAGTCAGTCACAGAAAGGAAGATGACTTTTTTCCATTGTTGATTGTGACATTCCCAAATCTGAAACATAGCAAGCAATAAAGAAAAATTAGTAGAGTTATCCAAAAATGCTACTGCTGGGGATTAGCAGTCAAGCCTCTGGTGTTTATTTTTAAAATTACTGCATGATCAAATCGCAGGTACTGTAGATTTTCTTGGTAGTAGCCAATGTCCTTTCTGCTCAAGAGTCTACTCTGGAATTTTTTTTTTCTCCCCCAGCTCTTTAAGCTTTGGGTAGAATAAAAATTATTTTCCAGTAGAAGGAAAAGCTGGCCATGGTAATAAGTGCCTCTGGAGTATGAAGTACCACCTTATTCCAACAGATTATGCAGTAAGGTACAAGCGGTGATTTCAGAATCTTTTCTTGCTTATTGTGATTGGGCTTAGGAAGAATATTTTATGGAGAACACAGGAAAATTGATTCTATCTATGCAAATTGGATGTCTCGTGAGTTTGTAGCAATGTAGACAGGTTTCATGTTCACTTTTACTTTGGACTAATTTTTCCCTAAGGAACCTTGATATCACTAGCTGCTTTTCCAAATATTTGGATGAGGCTGTATTTGATATTGGTTAGCATCAAGACTGAGATGCAAGAGTGGGAATCCTTAGGCTTGGCACAGCTGCAAGAAATACAGAAGAGCTGGACTGCCTCTCTCCTTAGGGCGAACCTTTTTATTTTGACATCAGCAGGAGAATCTTGTCCACTCTTGCATAGGCCAAAAGGGTAGAAGGCCTGTTGGAGGCTACATACTACTTTGGAAAACTATGCCAACATGGTTAGGGCTTATTGCTCAATAGCAGTGAGGTTCAGCTAACATGAGTTGGGATCTGCAGGCAAAGATGGATTTAGCCTGTGGCAGCCCTATACGTCCGAGTATCACCATGCTCTTGAGCAATTTGGGTGACCCGAATGACAAAGATTTTTGATAAACAATTCAGTCATCTGTGAACCAGAATCTGTTTTCAGGGATTTGTCTTCCCTAGTGACTTTCACTGGGATACAAATAGGTCAAGGTGAGGTAGCCTAGCTCTTAGAATATCAATGGAAAACTTGGTTCAAGAGCCACTATGTGTTGTCTATTGATACTCAGCCAGTCCTGTTTGTGATTAGTCTCTTATGTGGATCATCTGATGGAGGACAGATGAGCTTCTTGTATTCCCTTGCTGGTTTATGTATGCCACAGTTGTTATGCTGTGACTGGATAAGAAAGTGCTCCTTCCTCAGGAGATTCTGGAAGTCAGAAAGGCAAGATTGACTTGTCTTACCTCTAGCATGTTGCTCTGAAATGTGCCTGCACCTTGACCATGTCCACTACATATTGCGGAGCTCAAGTACAACTCACCACCCTGAAAAACTGGAATTCAGTCAGTACCTTAGTGTCCATACCCTGTCATTACATGTGCTTCCTGCTTCTGCCACTTAAGGATCTGAAATAATTTTACATGACTTCACTTCCCTTGTGTTTTGCACTGGAAATAATTCCAAGTGTACAAAAATTCTTATTTATGTGTGGTCTCCATGCATTACATCACAAGAACAAAATTTGCAGGGGAAAATGGATGAATTACACTTCATAACTGACATTTGTTACCTTTCCTGCTTTGGGAATACTGAGCTTGGAGAAGACAATTTTTTGAGGGTTCCAGAATTCTCAAATTCTAGGACTGAACTTTTTCACTTTCAGACTTTCCTGCTCCTCCCTAAAGACTTCACACAAGGAGTAGGAAGGAATATTAAGGAGATAGTTACCAAGACAAAATTTAAGTATATGGGAGAATCAGCAGCTTTTCACTTTTGAAGTGATATGGGAAAAGGGTTGCAGGGATTTTGATGTCTCTGTGGGCAAGTCAAGCTGATGTCAGGCGGATGTGTCAGCTATCACATGCTGTCTCGCCTAATCCCCTGGCCCTGACAAAATGAGGGCCAACAACCTCTAGGCAATTGCAGCAGAACTTCCCTTGTGTGATCTGGAGTTCTTCTTACAAATAGTGCTCCTCTGTCTGCTTGTTTCAGTTGGCCTGCTTTGCTATCATAGGGAAGGGGGGAAAAAGGACGAAAGGCATGCAGTGGGGTAAACACTTCCCAACACTCAAATGTTGGTCCCTTATTTATGGGTAAAAAAGGTTTTATCCACTCCTGCTTGAAAAGTCAGCTTTTTGCACTTCCAGAAAAAGAATGTAGCTTGAGGGCAAAAGGATTATGTTTCAAACCTGAAGTCTCATGGACAACTGTGAAATGCATCCAGTATTTGTCAGAAGAGATTTCGCTCAAATGTCTGAGATTGGGGGGAAGAGGTGAGAATCCAGAAATGAATAAATGCTGAAGACACAACAAAAACCAGACAGACATAAAATAACCAAAGAGACCATTGTTGTAGCCAGATATTTGTACTTTTGAGACAAATAATCAGATTTACTAGGAGAGACAAGGTGAGTGAGGTAAGATTTTATTGGATCAACTTCTCATAGAGAGAGAGAGAGAGAGACTTTTGAGCTCTTATTCAGATCTGAGTGTGGCTTGAAAGCTCATCTCTTTCACCAACGGAAGTTGGTATAATAAAAGATATTACCTCACCTACCGTGCCTTTCTAATATCCTGGGACTGACATGGCTACAACTACACTACATACAGATTTACTGAAATATTTTCCACATCGATGGGTGCAAATCCCCACATTGGAAAATGGACATGTGAACTCCTTGAAAATAACTGGAGTTGTACTTACATGAAAAAAATTTAATGAGGAAAATTGGGATCACCACAAACTATATACTCAACAGCAAAATAGAACAGGGTTCTGATAAAATTACTGTTTACAAACTACATATGCTGTCTGTCTATAGGCAGATCTGCACTCTTAGCAGTAGCATAGTTATTCATTTGTATTTTCAAAAAATCATTGACTTCTCAGTCAGGATTGAAATGACAAACTCTGCCATGAGACTAAAGCTACTTTAAAAAACTGATTTTGGGTAGAATTTTCTTACACAAGTACAACAGGTTATATTTTGATGTATAGTTGTGTTTTAAACAGTTTGATGGCTTTTTCATCATAGAAATTGATTTTATAATTAAGGTTAAGATTTTGGCATAAGGATTTTTATTAAAATTCATGGGCAGGACACTGGCAACAAACAAATCACAGAAGCCGGAGTCCTGTCACTATGGGGGGGCTGACTTCCCTAGCCAGAGCTGAAGCTGAAAGTCACTGAAGTCTGTAAAAATCTCAATCTGTGACAAAATCGTATCCTCATTTATAATACATAGGGCAGCTTTTTTCCTCTCTCGTTAAGCATCAAACTTGTACTCTTCCATTTCACTCTAACGCATTTACACAGTATGTTTTAAGAGACTGCTGCAAATCACTTAGTGAAAAGTCTTTAATTCTTAGGTTAGCTTTCTGGTCTAAGCATAAGTTTAATATTTATATCAAAAATGTTAGTACAAACTGCAAAGGGTTCACACTGAAGTTTAAATTAGAAATAAGATTTTAGAAAAACCATATATCTTAAACAGTAACCCATGTATTGCTAGGATGAGATGAACCAATAAAACATTTATACACAAATTTTCTCCTTTCAGGATAGGCTACCAATCATATCTCCACAAATGTAACTGCATGTATTTAATTTAATACGACTGAAAGTTTGCTTGGCTATCACAGACCCATTGTACATCCGCAACTGGAACATTAGCCAACTTTTCATAAATTACAAATATGCAATTGGATCTGAAAATGAAACAGTTTATGGTAAAGGTATGTAAACTCACTGTACCCAAGGCTCATGTCACTAAATTTGAATTCTACACAGTATGTAGTTCTTTGAATCAGAAAAAAGTTGAATGGTTAAAGAAACAAAAAAGCATGAAGTGTGAGTTAGACATATTGTACAGAAAATTTCAAATATCTTAAAATTATGACTCGTAACATTTGTTCTTGTATCTTCTCATAGGAGGAAATTGAATAAGAATCACACAGCACTGAACTTTTACACAAGCGTCTTATTGTATTTGAATGTCATTTATTGAGGAGTGAATGAGATACTGCCAGACATGCCAAAGACACTTCACATTCAAGGGCTGGAAGCTGAACAGCTTTTCTCATTGAGTCACTTAAACAAGCCTTTTTTGTGCGACATCAATGAGGTCTTCATGCTTTATATTCGTCTTCAATTTTTCATCTTTTGATCTAGTGGTTTGCTGGGTAGAAGGGCACTTTCTACCCTAAAAGAAACTCACTCCAGTTAATACAATTAATACTAGATGTATAGAAATGTTATCTGCTATAATGTACATTACCGCTGAATAACTGGTCTTAAAGCTGTTTAATTCATTATATCTAATGAGAAAATTCAACTTGTCTCCTTTTCACCATCATACGGGTGGCTTATACCATTAGAAAAATATTCTTCAGTGCTTTTGTAGGGTTTACAGGGAGCTTCTTCAGTGTTGTGGGATAGAAATGGATTTAAACACCACTCTGAAAGAGTGCTTCTTCGTGTTGCCACTGCCTGTAGATTGCAAAAGAATGGCCTACACGCTCTACAGTTCTTTTTGCTCAAAAACAAAAACAAAGAAACCTAAACAATAGGGTAAATGTTTATTTGGAGTTAGTTTTCTTGCAGATAATTAAGGCCCTTCAAGCAGAGTTCAGGAGCTCCTGTATAGCTGCCTGTTGGTCTGCATTGAGCTGTGATATGCATTCTGTCCATAATCCTCCAGAGGTCTGGAAAACAAATGAAAAATAAAGGTGTCTTCACTGAATATAGACTTAGAAATATGTCAACCATTTATTTTCATTAGTCTTTCAAAGTCAACATCTATTGAGCATATATACTGTAGGAGAGTGATGGACAACTTACAGGTAAATAGTAGAGGGGCCACAAAAACCATTTTGCAAGTGGGGGGGAGGGGGGAAGAAGGTCAGACCCTGCCCATGGAATAGTGACATTGGGTGGGGGGGGATGTAGAGTCTCTACCGCAAGGGGTAGTGGGAGGTCCTAGAGGAAGTTTGGGAGGGAGCCTGGCCTGCACTCACCCTGCCATGACTACTCCTGTCTCGCTGTGCTGGCTCCGGCTCCCCACTTGGCCCCATTGGCTCTCGCTGCAGCATGAGAGGACATGTGCATCGTCCCGTCCCACCCCCCTTCCTGCCCCAAGCTAGACTGTGGTAGGCCAAATGAAATGATCTTGCAGGCTGGATGTGACCCCTCAGCTGCCCATCCCTGCTGTAGGTTATACCAAAGAGAACAGACAAAGTCCTTGCCAACACTCAAACCTGTATCAGCTTAACGAAAGCTTTTTAAAAAATGATTTAGTTACACTGGTGCAAGTCTGTGTGTAGACAAGGCTTAAGTAATTGGTTTGAAATTCCTAGCAACTCCCTAGAATTAAAAAAGTACAAATCACAGCAGGCAAGATGCAGCCCTTCATTCTTCTAAAGGTAAGTAGCATGACAATTTGTACTCTTTTCAATAAGGCTATAAACAGGTTATTTGCTCTGCCTTAACATAGATAAGTCACATGGTACTTTCAGAAGACCAGCGGTATCGTTAGCCATAATTTTTCATCTCCACCCTGTTGTGTAGCACACTATTTTGCTTGTCACCACAAAGGTGATTTATTTTAATGGTACCAAATATATTTTCAAGGTAATACAATCCTTCAGAATAAAGGCATTCAAATAAATGGGAAGTATGTATTCAGCACAGTGATCAACACAGGTTTGGGAGCAGGGGCTAAACTTGTCTCAGTATGACAAAGGAGGCCAAGTTGAAATTTATTGCAGATAACCAATTTAAATCTCTACAGTGACTTTTGATATTTAAAATCTCATTTAATGTGTTTAAACAAGCTGTCAAAGTTAGCAGATTTACATTTGATATATTTTAAACATCAGTTCTACATTGAAGATCTTAATTTAGTCTTTTCACACCATATTTAAAAAAGGATCCATTAGGTCCAATCAAAGAAACGTAAAGACATGGTGTACTGTGAGATTCAGTGTTCTAAAGACAATCTAACACTTAAATAAGGGCCTTTAGTTTTTTTCCATAGGTAATGAGATTCTGACATTTAAGTTCTGCAGGTTTCAGAGTAGCAGCCGTGTTAGTCTGTATTCGCAAAAAGAAAAGGAGTACTTGTGGCATCTTAGAGACTAACAAATTTATTTGAGCTTAGTCTCTGTTAGTCTCTAAGGTGCCACAAGTACTCCTTTTCTTTAAGTTCTGCAGTACTCCCAAATAAAGGGCAAGTTTTTAATTTTAAAATTGCCATTCTCAATCAGATATTGCCTCAAGCAGCCTACACGTCCTTACTCCTGGGAGAATTCTACGCCACTGCACAATGCACAATTTCCTTTTCCCCCCCCCTCACAGAATTGGTGTTGCAGAGCTGCTGGCTGCCAGTAGGGGCCTCTGGACCCGCAGAGCCCAACTCGCAAATCGAATACATTGCTGGGGGAAGGGGAACAGAGCTGAAGAATTCCCAGCAGCTGCAGTTTCTGGCATGCCCTGAAGGAAGGAGGCAGTGTGCAGGAAACTCCATACAAGCCCAGGATCCAGCATCAGGCTGTTTCTCCCTGTGTGTGTGTGTAGGGGGGAGTGACTGGGCTCTGTGTGGGCAGGGGTGCAGGTATCTGGCCCTGCAGCTAGGCTCTTGAGGGAGAGATGGGCTGTGGGGTATCTAGGGCAGGGGGTCCCTGTGACTGGGCTCTGGAGGAGTGTGAATATCTGGCCCTGTGGCTGGACTCTGGGAGATGAGGGTGTCTGTCCCCACAGCTGGGCTCTGGAGGGGAAAGGGGTGTGGGTGTGTGGCCTGGTAGCTGGGCTCTGGAGGGCAAGGGGGTGTGGGTGTCTAGCCTCGGAGCTGGGCTTGGGTGTGGGGTGGGAGGGAAGGGGCAGAGAAGCAGGAACTGGGTTGCCACAGGGGTTTCTTTAACTCTGCTCCTATGAGGCATTGTTACAGGAATACTTCCTGACAGGTATTTTGAAATAAATTACCAAAATAATTGAAAGTGGCATGATTATATAGTGTTATTTTGACAAATAAAATCTGCAAAATTTTAAAATATTGTGCACAGAATTTTTATTTTTTTAAATGCAGAATTCCCCTAGGAGTAACCTCTGTTCATTGCTCCTCCACCAGCTTCCACAGTGGAGTAGTTAGCAACTATGCAAGTTTACTTAGAGATGTTTCAGAGTAACAGCCGTGTTAGTCTATATTTGCAAAAAGAAAAGGAGGACTTGTGGCACCTTAGAGACTAACCAATTTATTTGAACATAAGCTTTCGTGAGCTACAGCTCACTTCATTGGATGCATTGAAGTGAGCTGTAGCTCACGAAAGCTTATGCTCAAATAAATTGGTTAGTCTCTAAGGTGCCACAAGTCCTCCTTTTCTTTTTACTTAGAGATGCAATTTCTTGATAAAGTACGGCCACTTTATTTCCCCATAGTTCTGAAGGTGGAAGAACCGCCTTCCATTCAAAGCCTTGCTTCATCAGTCAGTTGTATCATCATAAAAAGTTCATCTTTGCCATCTGAGGATGGGCTGGACAAGGTTATTGACATAGGATAATTAAGATTTGTGGCTGGGGGTAATGGCAGAGACTTAAGTAATTTAATGTGATTTTATTTTGAATTTTATATTTTGTACAGGTCAACCAGAGGTTGAAGTAGGTGCTTCTATTATCTAAAAAAACCTAAAAATAAATACATTTCAGTACTGCCCTCCTTCTATTGCCCCTATCTTATAGAACTAAATGTGTAGGTTTTGCTTACTTTTTTTTTTTAAATGCCCTTACACAAGCAGTTTCCATTGAAACCCAAAATGCATCAATGACATTGTATAGTAAAGGTAGCACACAGCTATGGAGCTGACACTTCACTCTACTCAGTCTCTTCCAACATAGAATTCACGAGGTTCTTCTTGAATAAGCCTGTGTATCCTTGCCCTGTAGCTGCCCAGTTTCTGGGTCATTTTAATAAACTTTTGGATTTCATGCAAAATAAACGTTTAGAAATTAAAAAGCGTAGTTCAAATCACCTGAGAAAAGGTAAAGGAAACTAAAGGGAGTGAGGTAAAAGGTAAACCATGCAATTGTTCCAAGTGTTTATTTTTTTTATGAATACTTCAAAAATTACATGAGTCATAAAAAGATACACACCCTCTGGTTCAAGTACCTTACATAGCATTATCATGATTAATCTGGATTGTTGCACTGAATCTATTAGGAATCAATTTGGAATATTTCTTCTTAGAGTGAACACTGGTTGCAGCATCATGTTTATTAGAGAATAGGTTCTGAACACTAGTTTTACAATTCCTAAATCTCAGAGCAAACTAGAATGATTCCCTTTACAATAAAATAAATTCACATTCACCTGCACTTGACGAACAACATTAGCCAACCGTTTAGTACATGGATCTTCGTGTTTAATTGCTTCATGAATTTCACCATCCGCAATTATACTGAATATTCTGGGAAGATTAGCATTGTTGTGACCAAGGACAATTGGGTTGTTACTGATGGAGATCAAAAAAGTATACATGTTACAAATATGTCAGTGTTAGCATTCTAATTAAAAAAGATAAATGTAGATTGTGTATGTAAGTTAACTGCTTTTCAAGACATTTCTGATTTTTAGAACTGCACATTCATACCTGAGGTTATTCAGCATCATTAAGTGCATCCTGTTCTAGAAGAAAATTCCATTTTTGTCATTTTAAGATCTGGCTAATTTGAACATTCCTTATTTATAAAGCTGGGCTGTGCTTTATCAGAAAAGTTATGTGCCTTAGATAGGCTTCAGCAGAGCAGGCCAGCCCACACTGTTGGAAGTTTAATACGGTTATGCTGGGAAAGTCCATACAGCAGGGACTGGAGCACTGTGGTAGGGAAAGCTTCGTATATTTTAAACTGATTTACTCACTCCCTCCCAGAGCTGATGGAAAGTGGTACTGACTAGCTCCAAAGGGAGAGCCAGCCAGCCTCCCTTGACCTAGAGTGAGGAATGCCACAATACAAGGACTTTGAAATATGAAAAGGGTTAGTGCTTGTTAATCAAAGGCGTTGAGAAGATTAAAGGGAGAATAAAACAGACCCAAATGGTAATGAAGGCAGCTGACAGGTCTAACAGTATCAGCGCGGGCATACAATTATCCATCACCAGGATATCTAACAATGCCACCAGTACCATTTCGGTTTCAAACCCTGGTTTATACTAAGCATCATGAGATTTGACGCTTGTAGGTACTCCATGAGTTATCACAATCTGCTCTATGATTGTAAACCAAGAATGAAAGATATAATCATAGGGCTGGAAGGGACCTCAAGTCCAGCCCCCTGCGCTGCAGAAGAACAAGCCCCCTACACTTAGGCAGGACCAAATAACCACCTAGGCCATCCCTTGCATGTCCAACATGTTCTTAAAAACCTCCAATGACGGGGGCACCACAACCTCCCTTAGAAGCCTTTTCCAGTGCTTAACTGCCCTTTATAGTTAGAAAGTTTTTCCTAATCTCTAACCTAAATTTCCATTGCTGCAGATTAAGCCCATAACATCTTGTCCTACCTTCAGTGGACATGGAAAACAATTGATCATTATCCTCTTTATAACAGCCCTTAGCATATTTAAAGACTGTTCTCAGGGCCCCCCTTAGTCTTCTTTTCTCAATACTAAACATATCCAGCCATTTTTAAAAAACAAAACTTTTCCTTATAGGTCTTTTCATCATTTTTGTTGCTTTCCTCTGGACTCTCAAATTTGTCCATATCTTTCCTAAAGTGCAACACCCAGAACTCAACACTCTACTCCAGCTGAGGCCTCCATCAGTGCTGAGTCAACTGGGACAATTACCTCCACCGTCTTACTTACGAACACACCTATTAATAGATCCCAAAATATCAGCCTTTTTTGCAACTGAATCACATTGTTGACTCATTCAATTTGTGATCCACTATAACCGATTCTTTTCAGCAGTACTACCACCTTGCCAGTTAATTCCCCATTTTGTAGTTGTGTATTTGATTTTTCCTTAAGTGTAGTACTTTGCCCTTGTCTTTATTGAATTTCATCTTCTTGATTTCAGACCAAATTTTTCAATTTGTCAATGTTCTTTTGAATTCTAATCCTGTCTTCCAAAGTGCTTGCAATCCCTCCCAGCTTTGTCTCATTGGCAAATTCTACAAATATACCCTCTCTTCAAATCATTAATGAAAATATTGACTAGTACTGGACTCAGGACTGACCCTGCAGGACCCCACTAAATATGCTTCTCCTCCCCCCCAGCAGTGTGATAGCAAACCACTGATAATACTCTGAATGCAGTCTTTCAATCAGTTATCTAGTAAATTCATCCAGAGTGCATTTCCCTAGTTTGCTTATGAGAGTGTCACATTGGACTGTATCGAAAGCCTTACTAAAAATCAAGATACATCATGTCTGCTGCTTCGCCGCCCCCATTCCCATGGCCAGTGTTTCTCAACCTTTTTGATACCAGGGACCGGCTTACTGCCTCCCTAAACTGTGCCAGGGAGAGCTCAGGAATGAGCACTGGTCCACGGACCAATCATCGAGACACATTGCTTCTAGGCCATTAACACCGTAAAAGAATTAGGTGGGTTTAGTATGACTTGTTCTTGACAAGTTGGCTATTCCTTATAACCCTATTATCCCCTAGATGCTTACAAACTGATTGTTGAATATTTGTTTCAGTATCTTTCTAGGTATTAAGTTAGGCTGACTGGTCTGTAATTCTGTGGGTCCTCTTTGTTCCCCTTTTTAATGATAGTTACTATATGTTTCCCCGTCTCCAATTCTCTGGGACCTAAACTGTCCTCCGGGACCTCACCCACCCTCCATGAGTTCTCAAAGATAACTGCTAACAGTTCTGAGATTGCTGCAGCTAGTTCCTTAAGTACCCTAGAATGCATTTCATCAGCCCCTGCCAACTTGATTATGTTGAACTTACCTAACTTATCTCTGCCACTGCAGAGATGCTAAATTAATTCTTTGCATCACTCTTCACTGCAGAGGAGTGTAAGGGAGATTCCTACACCTGAGCCATTCTTTTTAAGTGACAAATTTGAGGAACTGTTCCAGACTGAGGTATCAATAGAGGTGGTTTTGGAACAAATTGATAAGTTAAACAGTAATAAATCACCAGGACCAGATGGTATTCACCCAAGAGTCTCAAGGAAATCAGATATGAAATTGCAGAACTACTGATTATGGTATGTAACCTACTGCTTAAGGTCACCCTATGTACCAGATGACTGGAGGATAGATCATGTAACCAATTTTTATAAGACTCCAGAGGCGATCCTGGCAATTATAGGCTGGTAAGCCTGACTTCAGTATCAGGCAAACTGGCTGAACCCATAGTAAAGGAAAGAATTATCAGGCACATAGATGAACACAACATATCGGGGAAGAGCCAACATGGCTTTTGTAAAAGGAGGTCATGCCTCACCAATCTATTAGAATTCTCAGAATGTCAATAAGGTGATCCAGTGCATGTAGTGTACTTGGACTTTCTGAAAATCTTTGACTAGGTCCCACAATAAAGCCTCTTAAATAAAGTAAGTAGTCATGAGATAAGAGGTAAGGTCCTCTCATGGATCAGTAATTAGTTAAAACATAGGAAACAAAGGGCAGGAATAAATTGTCACTTTTCACAATGGAAAGAGGTAAATAGCAGGGGCCTCAATAATCTGTACAGGGACCAGTACTGTTCAATATATTCATAAGTGACCTGGAAAATGGAGTGAACAGTGAGGTGGCAAAATTTGAAGACACAAAATTCCTTAAGATAATTAAATCCAAAATTGACTGCAAAAAGCTACCAAGGGATTGCCTAAAGCTGGGTGAATGGAGCAACAAAACTGAAGATGAAATTCCATGTTGATAAATTCAAAGTAATACACATTGGAAAACAATCCTAAATTCAAAAGGGAGTCTAAATTAGTTATTTACACTCAGATGATCTTGGAGTCACTGTGGATAGTTCTCTAAAAACATCTGTTCAATGTGCAGTGGCAGTCAAAAAAAAGCTAAGAATTTTAGGAACTCTTAGGAAAGGGATAGACTATAAGACAGGAAACAATGCTGCTATATAAATCTATGGTACATTCACACTTTGAACATTGCGTGCAGTTCCAGTTGTCCCATCTCAAAAACGATATTTTAGAATTACAAAAAGTACAGAGAAGGGCAACAAAAATGATTAGGTGTATGGAACAGCTTCCATCTGAGGAGAGATGAAAAAGACTGGAACTGTTCATCTTGGAAAAGAGATGACTAAAGGGGGATATGATAGAAGTCTATATAATCATGAACGGTGGGGAGAAAGTGAATAGGGGAAGAGTTTTATACCCCTTCACATAACACAAGAACCAAGGGTTACCCGATTAAATTAACAGGCAGCAGATTTAAAACAAACATAAGGAAGTACTTCTTCACACAATGCACAGTCAGCTAGTTGAACTCATTACTAGAGGAGGCTGTGAAGGCCAAGTGTGTACCTGGGTTCAAAAAAGAATTAGATAAATTTGTGGAGGATAGGTCCATCAATGCCTACTAGCCAAGATGGTTAGGGATAACCCCATGCTCCAGATATTCCTAAACCACCAACTGCCATAAGCTCAGACTGGACAACAGCGGATGGATCACACGACAGTTGCTCTGTTCTGTTCACTCCCTCTCAAGCATCTGGCACTGGCCACTGTTGGAAGACAGGATACCAAGCTAGATGGCCATTAGACTGACCCACTATGGCCATTCTTGTGTTCTTAAATATTCTTTAACACCTTCTTTCCCTATTTTGGCTTGTGTTCCTTCCATCTTGTTAATATTAATTGTGTTGAGTACTGGTCACTATTAACCTTTTTAGTGAAGAATGAAGCAAAACAGCATTAAACACATCAAACTTCCTGATGTCATCAGCTCTCCTTCCCTGCTATGCAAAGGACCTACACTTTTCTTCATTCTTCTCTTGCTCCTAATGTACCAGATGTCTGGAGGATAGATCACCCTATGCACCAGATGACTGCAGTGAATTCTAATACTACCTAAAGAGGTTCTCCCTCCTTCCAGTGTTCTCAATATAGATACCCAGTCTTGGAAGTGCACACTGTATGAAAGCCCAGAATCTCTTATTAAAGAATCTCTTTTTATTGCCTTTAAGGTGTAACTCATTGTATGCTTATCCTTTCTTCGTCCCTACGCGCTTCTGCTATTCTTTTGTTCTCCTCAGCAATTTGACCATGTTTCCACTTTTTGTAGGATTCCATTTTGTTTTGATTAAGGTGGAAAATTCAGGTAGCAAGTTTTTGGCTATATCAGAAGTTGCAAGACTTATCAGTGATAGATGGTAAATGAGTCATGATTGCAAACCTTACACTGATCAGCATGAGGTTGAAGGTCTCTGTTTTCCCAGTTTTGTGACAGAGTAAAGTAGTCATCTGCTGAATGCACAGATTGTGGGCTGCCTAGTGATCTTTGAAAAGAAGTCTACATATCATGCAATGGTCAAAACTTTCCAGAAGATTCTGGGCTTTCATACAGTGTATAAGCACTTCCAAGACTGGGTATCTATATTGAGAACACTGGAAGGAGAGAGAACCTCTTTAGGTAGTATTAGAATTCACCGCAGGACTTCACTGATTGGGCTACTTGCCAGTACTTCAGAACTGCACGAAGGGAGACACTACCACTGTACTCTAAAACTGGACTATCTGCATTGTTTCACTGTTTACTTCTTACGTAGCTGCTTCATGAACACCTGAAAGATCAAAGCACATCAAGAAACAAAGATGTTTTATAAACCAATTACGGAAGAAAAGCGGCCATCTGTTTTGCGTGTTGCTGGTAGTTAAAATGTCTATTTATGTTGCAATACTGGTAAGTGATCATAGGAACGGTGTCAAAGAACTGCTGGAATTTTCCTTAAGGTCTCATGCTGATACTATATCAGCACAGCAATTGGATGCAAGATACGAAAACATTTAACTAGACACTATTGAAAACTAGAATTAAATTTGTTACTAATGAATAAGGCTATGATTTTGTCACGGAGATCCCGGAATTCACAGCATCCATGACTTCCAAAGACCTCCGTGACTTCAGGCCCAGCAGCTGCAGGGTCCCACCGTCTCCCACAGTGGCAGGGAGGTGTGAGGTACCCCTGTCGTCTGAAGCAGCAGGGCCCCTCAAGCGCCAAACTGCCATGGGCAGGGGGACCCTAGAGCTCTGAGTCCCCATGGGCGGTGAGGGCCCCCAGAGCTCCCAGTCATCCCACAGCTTCCCAGCCCCTTCCCATTTTATCATGGAAATTTTTGAAAAAGTCAGGGACAGGTCATTTGGCTTCCATGAATTTTTCTTTATTGCCCGTGACCTGTGACTTTTACTAAAAATATATGACAAAAATCTTAGCCTTACTAATGGAATATGAAAGACGTTAATTTTCATGTTCAAGATAATGCGTATACTAGAGAAATAAAAACGAGTATAGGTCCCATTATTGGAGACTGTGTATAAGAAAAATAAGCAGACTACGAGTATGCTTATTTTATGCATTATATCAAAGTACATTTTTACCTTACCTCTCAATTAGGTCACACAGGTAATTGAAAGTATGAACAGCTTCTTCTTTGTCTTCGTGTAGTGGAAGCCATGATAACCAGTGTGGCAGGATTTCCTCAACATTTACACAATCAGGTTTGAACTTCATGATCTTCCCTACTGCTGAAATACAGTTCTCTGTTGCATTGACGTTCTCTTTGGCTTTGGCATCTGGTGACTGAATAACTCTCACCAGCAATGGAAGCGCCTCTGTAACAGTGCAAAATTAGGAAAAAGCCTCATGTATAGCCAAATTAAATTCTTGCACTTGAGCAACAATAGTGTTTCCCAATAGGGCACTAAACCGCTTGCAGACACACAACTTCAAATATGGGTAGTTTATAAAAATGAGTCAGATGTAGTTTAAAATAATTCTTCTGTTTAAGTCTCCCTGCTTCTTTTGTGGTTTTCCAATCTTTAAAATGTAAAGACGATTCCCGCCCCAACCGCCTTCTTGCGGTGTGAAAGGCATAACAAAAATATACTGACTATGTAAAAGGTACGCAAAGTTGATTGACTATTCAAGGGAAGCAATGAAACTGACAGCTGCCAAACACAAAAAATTAACCTGAACAGTAATAAAACAGTGTGTATAGCCCTTCAGTTGTGGTAATGTTACTTGTAATGGGTAGACATTTTTTAGCTATATGCATAGTTTTAAATTCAGTCTCAAAATAGCTTAGTAAAAGTACACAAATGGCAAAATTTGACTAGATAGTCGTTTCTCAAATGGGGGTCCTCGAGGGTACTCCAATAGGTCCGCAGGCCTAGCTGATTAACTATGCCCCCACCCTCCCAGCGCCTCCTGCACGCCACTGAACAGCTGTTCCAAACATGGAGAAGGCACTGGTATGGGGCATGCTCAGGGGAGGGGCGGAAAGTGGCAGGGAAGAGGAGGGGCAGGGGTAGAGCAGAGCCGGGAAGAACTGGGGTGGGGGTAGGGCCTTGGTGGAAGGGATGGAATGGGGGTGTGGCCTGGGGCTGAGCAGGGGGCTTGGAGGTCCCCGAAAAATTTTAAATCAAAATGGGGGTCCTCAGGTTGCTCAAGTTTGAGAACCACTGAACTAGATTAAATACCTGATGACTCAGAATACACACTGAAGAGAATATATGTATTTGTTTTGTGTATTCATATGCATGTGTTACATACATGCACTTCCTAAAATAAGCAATAAAAAAAAGTTCAGAAGGGCCAAATTATACTGTCTGCTAAATCCACTTTACACCACTCAGATGGCACAAGCAGAAATAAACTCACCTGAAGAGGCTAGAGAAGGTGGTTACTTTGTACAGTAATTGGCGTTCAAAATGTTTTGTCCCTATGGAGGCTCCATTTCAGGATGTACATGCGCCCATGCATGCTTGGTGGAGATGTTATCAGCAGTGCCTGAGGGTCTGCACTTGTGTACTACACATCCTCATGCGCCAATGTTATGGTATATAGGGAAAAGCAGGCAAACTGCAGCTCTAGTTCCTTCTCAGCTACAAAGTCCAAAAGAACGACTGAAGCAGAGAGCAAGGAGGGCAGGTAGTAGTTTGTCCCTGTGGATGCTCCACCTAAGAAGTCCAATTACTGTAATTACAACCTAAGTAAACCTGTCCCTTGATCAGTTATCTCTGTGGTGCGCCACTGCAGAAGATTCTCGAGCAGTACATCAATTATGGAGGTGGCTGCTCAGGAAGTGGATTCAATATGGAACATAGAACAATCACCAAAAGTTATGCCGGCTTTGGAAGCATGCGTAACAGCATAGGGCTGGAAAAACATATGCATTGATGACCAGGTTGCAGTTTTGCAAATATCCAAGATGAACACCTTCTTCGGTAAGGCGACAGAGGTAGACTGGACTCCGGTGGAATAAGCAATCACTAGGACAATGACATATCTCTGAGGCATTGTAACAGGTTAATAAACATCCCAAACACCGACTTAAACAGCCTTTGAGAGGAGATTGGGTCCTCTTTGATTCGTTCTGTGACAGTGATAAAAAGTCTAGGAGAAGTCCTGAAGGGATTAATCCTGTCAAGGTAAAAAGCTGGAACTCTTATGTCTAGTATTTGGAGACTAGCTTCTTCTCTTGAAGAGTGAGAGGTGGGACAAGACACTGATAGATGAGTGTCCTGATTAACGTGGAACTCTGAAGATTACCTTAGGCAGGAAATGAAGGTAGGAATGTAATGTCACCATGTCATGATAAATACCATGTACAGTGGGTCAGCCATAAGGGCCCACAGCTCTACTAGACAAGGGGATGGCTATAGGGAAGAGGTCTTGAAAGATAAATGGAGGGGAGAGCCCCCATAGGTTCTAATGGTGTTTTTCCTCAGTGCATTGAAAACTAAGTTGAGGTCCCATAGAGGAGTAGGTTCCTTGAGGTAGGAAAAAGGATAAACAGGCTTAAACGAACCTTGCAGTGGTCAGGTGAGTGAAGAATGAATACTCTTCAATTGGGGAGGGAGAGGGAAGGAGGGAAAGAAGGCTGCAATGACAGCCAGGTAAACCTTAACTGAGCTCAGTGATAACCCTGTGGTTTTCAAGTTTAGCAGGTAACCAAGAATGTTGGAAAGGGAAGACTTGACAGCAGGTACAGCTCAGAGACTGCACCAGATCTGGACACATTTCCACTCTTCCATTACAATGAAAACAGTTGCTTTTTCTACTATTGCGCATTGCTGTTTGGAGAGTAGTTCTGGTCTATGCTAGAGGTCCCGAGAGCTATTAGCAGTGACGCCCTAAAATGAAGTGACAAGAAGTTGGGATGGACAGTGTATCCTGACACCAGGGTGAGGTCTGCTGTCAAAGGAAGGCGGAGATGTAGTTGCAAGGACCAGGGCTGGCTCTAGGATTTTTGATGACCGAAGCAAAAAATTTTTGGCCACCCCCCGCTTTTTTTGTGGTCCCCACCCCCAACTCCGCCCCCTCCCAAAATCCCTGCCCCCCCATTGCTTCCTGCGGCTCCCACCCTGCAACTGCCTGCCCTAGCTTACCTCTGCTCCGCCTGCTCCCCTGAACATTTCGCTGCTCCGCTTCTCTCCCCTCCCTCCCAGGCGAGGGAGAGGCAGCGCATTCAGGGGAGCAGGCAGAGCAGAGGTGAGTGAGGGTGGGGGGGGAAGGGCAGGAAGGAATGGCGGGTAGAGGAAACACTCCCCGCCCCAGCTCACCTCTGCTCCACCACCGCCGCCTCCCCTGAGCACGCCGCCGCTCGGCTCCTCCTCCCTCCCAGGCTTGCCGCGCAAAACGGGAAGGGGGGAGAAGCGGAGCGGCAGCAGTGTGCTCAGGGGAGCAGGCGGAGGCGAGCTGGGGCACATTTCTAGGGGCTGGAATGCCGCCCCTAGAACCTGCTTGTTTTGCTGGTGCCTAGAGCCGGCCCTGGCAAGGACAGTTGGAAGAGCTCTTTGAACTATATCTACTTTGGCCGCCACAACGGCATTATGAAGATGGTCCTTGATCTCTCCTGTTTCAACCTGTTCAGGATTTTGAGGAAGTAATGGTGTCAGGAGACAAATACAGAAGAGTACATGTTCTTGTTATCTCTTGGCCTCATCTTCCAGCAAGCTGTGTCTGTGTCCTCCTCTCAAGCAAGATAATCAGGCCTTCATGTTGATGGCATCAAAGAAATCTCTGGAAGACCCCAGGTAATAAATCTTCCAGAATACTGTATCATTGAACTCCCACTCATGCATGGTCACGGCAGAAAACCTTGCTGAGGGTGTCTGCTATGGTGTTCTATAGCCCCGGCAGATGAGCCACTGATCTCGGTATGCTCAGATATACACCAGTTCCATTATTTTATGGATTCTGTGCACAGACCAGGATCCTGCTCCTCAATGATTTATGCAATACGTTGTTATTCAGCACTGAGTGGCTCCTGATATGGAGTGTAAAGCAATGGCAAGCCTAACGGACTCCCCAATTCTAAAATGTGACTAGAGTGGCCTCTTGAGGGATTCCATTTGCCCCAAGCTGTAAAGTTTTTAAAGTGAGTACCCCAACCTAGAAGGAAGGCATCTGGGGATTATCTTTGTGGGAGGGGAATTCAAGAATGGAACTCCCACACAGACTTTTTGCCCCCACACCTGTTGGGAGAAGTTGAGGACCATCTGGGGTATTGATACCCAGTTGGATAAACTGTTTACTCCATGTGTAAACTGCCCTCAACCAGGCTTGAAGACAATAGGAGTGTAGTCTTGCAAACCGTGTTACAACAGGGTACATGCTGCTATGTGGCCCGGGGTGGAAGGCAAGCTTTTTGCTGTGGCGTGCAGGCTCTGTTACAAAGTCCAGCCTTGTTTTACAATGTAACAAACCTGCCTGTGGGAAAGCAGGCTCTGGAGGTAATGTAGTCCAGAGTGGCCCCTATGAAGTCTATTTGTTGTGTGTGTCTCAATGTAGACTCTTCTCCATCGAGGAGACCCAAAGAGTGGAACAGTGATGAGATGTACACATAGGAAAAGGGAGACAAATTAATCTCCCAGATCCAGAGAAGGAATTATTGCTGAGAGTTACCATTTTGAAACACTGCGAGAGGATGAAGGTTTTCAATGTCCTGTCTCCAGCATCCATTTTTCTTGGGGACTAAGTAGTACTCCTTTTCTGACGAAGTCCAATGGAACAGGTTTGATCATCCCATAATTAGAAGGGATTGTATTTGCTGTTTTAGGACAGCCCGATAAGAAGCATACCTGAAGTGGGATGGAGAGGAAGGATGGGAAAGAGGGAGCTGAACTGAATGGAACAGCCCACTGAAAACACCTCCAGGATCTGTCAGAGGTGATAAGCTCTCAGGCAGGCAGGAAATCAGAGAGGAGCACCACAAGGGTGTTGAGGGGGGATGGGTATAGCATATGATCTGGAATGGGAGACCGATTATGACTCTTGACCAACTGGTCAAAACAACTGTTTTGAGAGTCACTGACTTATGTAACTGGAGGATAGCCCTTTCTTAGAGAATCTTGGCTTCTTTCTGAGAGGTTCCACAAGTCTCATGGGCTATAATGGACTGAGCAAGACTGTGGAGCTGCCTTTCGAGCATACTGAATTTTCTTGTTGCTGCAGGTGTGTAGATGCTGAGGGATTGCAATGATGCCCAGTCTTTTTGTGACTAGAAGGACCTGTCTGCAATGTTACTAAACAGCTTAAGACCCAGAAGGTTCTCCAGTGTTTTGTACTTTTTGGAGTAGGCTGGAGGATTGGAACCAAAAACTCAAAA